AATGGATGGACGCAGACAATGTCACTGTGCTACACTTTCTTTAAAATATGAACTTCCATTTTATGCGGATTTAATACTATCGAATTTTGCTGTCAATCGAATTATATCATCGACGAAATTCTACCGTTGGAAAAAGTAAGACGATCGAATCATACTTTTCTTTGGCTTTGAATACTTTTTATCGCGTATGACAATATTTAACAAAAGAAAAGGAAAAAAGAGGGAAGGACAGGGAAACGTTAATTTTTTACTTGCAGGGTTGCAAATTCTGTCACTCTTGTATGCAAGAGTGATGTTCCTTGAATTGTTGAGGTATGAGAATGTTGTTCTTATTTAGGTGTCTGAGGAGGTGGGAGTGAATGATTTTTTCGAAAATTTTGCTCAGTATGCTGAGTAGGCTAATGGATCAGTAGTTAGTCTTTTCAGTCTTGGATTTTCCGGGTTTGGGGGTAGGAAGTATTTTTGCTATTTTCTAAGGGTTGAGGAAGTATGAGAGCAGGATACATAATTTTAAGATGTAATATTGATTTGCATAGTTGTTTTAGGAGGAAAATTCTTCAGTTCCTCTGTGAAGATGATTGGGCTTTGGAGTTTGGGAGATCCTTTATTATGTTTCTGATGTATTGAGGGGAGATGGTTATTTGGCTTTGGGTGGTAGTGTTTGGAAGTTTTGTGTTGTCTATTGTTTGTGTGTGTTTGCTAATTTCTTCATCAATTGGAGAAACGGTTGGAAATGCTTGTGATTGTGTATGTCGGCGAAGGTGTTGGCAAAAGCTTCGACATTTTCGGTATCTGTATAATACGTTTCTTCTGTATGTCGGTCGGAGAGAGGGGGGATTACTGGGTTTTTCTTCCAGTTAGTTTGTATGTTTGCCATAATGTGTGGTCGGTTTTTTGGAGATTACTGGGTTTTTTTTAGTTTGTTTTGTCAAGTGTTGTTTCTGATTTCCGATTGTTTTCTGTAGAGTGGTTAGTATGTTACGATGAAGTTTGTGTAATAAGTTTCCTGTTTTTTGGTATTTTCTTCTCTGTTTCTGTCCTTTATTAGGTTTAGTAGACGTTGGTCTGTGGTGGCATGTATAGTATTGGTCTCGACTGTGTGGGTTGCCTTCCGAAAAGCTGAGTGTATGTTTTGTTGGGGACGTTCGATTTGTGTGTCAACTTCTTCATTGTGTATGTATGAAATTGTACGTTATCTCTAATACATGCCTCTTTAAATTCGGAGTAGTCTTCTAAATGTTGGACTATGATTTTTAATTTTACGTGTACTTTGTGTGGAATTTGTCATTGTATCTGTGTTTTAAGGCTAGTTTAGCATGGTTCACTCGTCCGTGTATGTAGATTGGAGGTGGTTTGATATTGGTGGGAGTTGGGAGGTAAATGATTTGGTTTTGTTTATCAACGTTGTCGTTCATGTTTTCGTCTACTTGTTCTGTGTCAGGGAAGAGATATTCGGCTAGTATGTTAAATCTGTTGTGTGTAGTTATATTCGTGTTGGTTGTGTCCATACCTGTGGTAACTTTAAATGTTGGCCCTGAGTTGTATAGCGAGGATATTCGGCTTCTAACTTTTATCGTATTCAGTATCGTGTCCGTGGCCTTTCTCTTGGCCGTAGGCCAGAAGGTTATTTCTTCCGTCTTTGGGAGTGAGGTGTTTCGTTGCAAAGAGCAAAGTGATCGAAATTTCAATCGGATGTTGCGTTCTTGATCGTTCACTGTTCCACTGTAGAGATGCGAGTTCCTCTTTGGGTTGTAGCACTTACTTCCATACTTATATATTCATTTACTGAGTTATAAAACTTTGATTCTAATTTTTACATTTGGAAAAAGGAATATGGCACGCATCGCCTCTCACATGTATGCATGCTCGACGGTGACCGAAGAATACCGAAGACTACCGACAATGACTGCAGTCATACTTAGCTACTCTTTTATCTCTTACAGTTATTTTGTCTGGTCCTGGTGATTCGTTGTTAGAGAGGTGTTTAATTATGTTTTTGATTTTGACGAGGGTACAATATGGTTGTGAAGCAGGAAGTGGTCGAATTGATTTAATGTAGGTAATTTTGCGTTCGATTTCGTCTATTGAGGAGCATTGTTTGAATGCGGTCGTGTGTATATCTTGAAAGTTGCGTGCAAGGCCTTTCGTCTTTTCCTCGTCCGTGAAGAGGGTGGAGTTTTGTGTAGCGTCTTGTAGAACAGGAATTATGGTTTTGGAGCCTCCGGTGATTTTATATGTGCGCCAAAGGGTGTGATTTGTATGTTTAATATTGGATAATTTCTGTTGCCATGTCTTGTTTTCTGTGTGAGTTATTATCTCTCGGGTAGCGTTTGTGAGGATGTTTTTGTGTAACTTGTATGTAGGATTTTCTGTTTTTTTTTGAAATTTTCTTCGCATTTTGTTTCGTTTTTTTATTGTGTTTAGTAGGAGTGGTTCTGTGATTGGGGTTCTGTTTTGCGTCGAAATTGTTTGTGTTACTGTTTTGTATGCTTTATGTATGTGCTGTGTGAGAGTTTTGATTTCTAAGTCTATTTGCTTTTCGTTTGTTAGAAGTGAGTTTATGTTAATTTTGTTGCAGAGTTTGCTGTATATTGTCCAGTCTATGTGTTCTGTTTTTTGTCTGGCTGTACAGTTGTACAGATAGTTCCACGGGTAGACGATTTGAGGATAGGTCGTCAATTGTTGTGTTCTGCAGTTATAGGAGTATGGTATGTTGAAAAGAAAAATATCTACATTGGTTGGTGTGCAATTTGGTACGTCGGGCTATGTATGATTTGGTAGTTTTTTTTAGGTCTGAATGGTTTTTGATTTTTGATCCATTTGCGTTTCTGTTTAGGTTGTTCCGTATTGGGTGTTTTGCATTAAAGTTACCACCAATGATGAAATGTTCTGCTTCACGTAGAGGAATGATGTGGTCTAGGTCTGTTTTTGTTATTTTAGTTTTGGGAGGGGCGTATGCGGCGCCGATCGTGAGTAAGAGTGATTTTAAGTTTTATTTTTATTATATCTATGTTAGAAATGATGGATTGCGGAGTATCTTCAACAGGGATATTTTATAGATTGCGATTGATACGCCTCCTCTTGGTTTATTTGAAATTGTGAGGATTCCCTCTTTTCTGTGTATGTTGTAATTTCTAAATCCGATTTTGTCTGAAGGTGTAAGTCAAGTTTCAGTAACTATTGCTATGTTCGTGTTTTGTGTATCTAGGAAGTTTTGTAGTTTTGCGATTTTGTTCTTTACGCTGGTGGCGTACCAAAAATTTCCATAAAATGAGATTTAGGAACTTTTTATGAGTCATCTTCGAGTTCTTTAACGATTAATATGGTTGCCTTAACGCTATCTAGGTTGTTGTTGCATTTAATATAGTGTTTTTGTATGAGAGTGATGATTTTTAGGAATAAGTTTAGATCTGAGGATTGGACTTGTTTAATGTTTTCTGTGAAGTTGCGGTTTAGTCTCTGTTCATGTGTTGGGAAGTTTTGAAAGGGATTTTGTGGAGATAGTGCTTTTGCATAGGTGAGATCTGGTTTGATTTTGTGTATCGGCTGTGTGGTGGGAAAAGTATAGGATGTATTGGTAGGGGGTAGATTAGGGAATTGGTGGTATTGGGTGTAGGTAGGTATGGATTGTTTTTGACGGAGCTGGGGTTTGTTAGAGAATAGATTTTTTTTGTTTAGAAAAGCTAGGAGGGCAAGGCATTTGGAGAAGTTGGCGGGATGGTCTCCAATTTGCACATGTTGCTAGTGTATCTCTAGTTTTGGTGCAGTTCTTTATGTCGTGAGCTCCGGCACACTTGACGCATACTGGTTTTTTATTGCAGTTGGCGGAAGTGTGGCCGTGCGCTCGACAGGCGGAAACATTGCACTGTTGGTTTTGGGGGTTTCATATTTTTCCCAGTATATTTTCATGTGTTCTATGTATCTAATGTGGTTTATTTGTGGTAGGGTTGTTCCTAGCATAAATGTGAATTGATAGATTGGGTACTTTGTATGTGTCGGTATTTCTGTGCATGAAACTGGTTTTAAGCCCTGGTTTCCTATACTTTCACATATTCTGTTTATTGGAAGCCTAATTAATTCTTTTAGAACTACTGAAGTTGTTTTTTCTGAGCTGATTGTGGAATTCTAGGTTTTCTTTTTTGCATATTTCTGTGAATTCGTTGAAGTCGTTTACATTATTGAACATTATTTTTAATTTGTTCGAGATGAATTTAACTTGGAAAGTGTTTTTGTATTTATTTTTTAATGCGTCCAATAGCTTGATATGATCAATGTTTCCGTGTATGTATATTGGTGGTGGTTTTAAGTTTGAGTGTTTGGTGTTGGGTAGATTTGTATTGGCTGTAGTGTTTTCGCGTTCTATGGTGTTTTCCGTTTGTGGTTTGGTGTGGGTTTTCTCATTTTCTGTTTCCGTTATTAAACAGTCAGCGAAAATGTTAAACCTGTTTTTTGTGTGAATGTCAGGGTTTATAATATCCATACCTTCAATTTTGTTGATCTTGGTCACAGGTGTTGAATCTGAGAGCGACGCTAACCGTTTACGGGTGGCTAGGATTTTTTCTTCCTTCAATTTTCGTTTTCCTGTCCATGCAATTGGTTTTTCCGCAATTTCGCAGGCTTGATTTAAGGATACTTTGTTGTTCATGTACCCTGAACTGGGTGATTTCCTCTTGCTGTTGGTTCCAGTTGTTGGTATTAATTGTCTAATTTAAAAATCTGAAATTTACTTGGAATTTGCCCTTGGGCGTTGTCTGTTCGTCCAATAATGACGTTCTGCCGTTTGACGTTACCCGACTGCTAACTTGAATTTTCACTCGCGATTTTCACTTAACTTGATCTATATGCCGTTGTCAGTTATACATAAAAGTTTAGTGACAAATGCCAGAATGAACTCTGAATGACTCGGAATGATGCTCTCCGTGGAATTTGGGATAGATCGTTTTGCATCGTTAAAATTAATTTATTGTCGTTTTCAGTTAAAGGTAACGGTCCGACTACATCTAAAGACAATTTTTCGAATTTTTCGGTTGATCTGCTATGGTAGTAATCTCCATTGGCTGCTTGGTAGATTTAAAGTTTGTTTTATTGATCTGACACGAAGAGCAAGCCCTAACATAAGACCTTATATCTTTTTTCTTTGTGCCCCAATAACGTTCTTTAATTTTAAAATAGGTTTTATTGAATCCGTAGTGTCCTGAGAGTTTATTATCGTGATTCTCTTGAAATATGTTTGTTATCTCGTCGCGAGTCCGAGATTCAAGTCTATTATCTTATCTCGTCTAGTAATCGAATCTCGTTATTGTCAAATACAAATCTTAGCATTTTCAATAAAAGCGTTATATTATGTTTCTTATTTGGAGGTACTACAATAAATTTGTTTCCTTTGATGGTAATGGTATATGAAATAATATGAAAATAATTTGATTCTTATTACTTAACTTGTAAACACCGTTTGCCAATGGGATGATATCACTAATATTGAATCTATTAAAAATGTGTTTAGAACACTGGTTATTTTCATTTAAATCTTGAGACCAAAATAACTACTATAATTACTATATGTTTGATGTTGTTTCTCTTCATGTAATTCTATATACGCTGGTTTCAATCTTTCTGTCGATATAGTAGTTTCTTTACCTTTATAATCTATAAGGAATAAATTATCTAATATGTGCTTAAGTACCCGATACGGACCTTCATAAGGTTGTTCCAAAGGTTGTTTAACATGATCAACTCGTACGAAAAATATAAAATATGATCGTCTAGAATGATGTCTAGTTGGTCTTGGACGTATAGTTTGCATATGATCTTTAAATTTAGTAATGTTAAAATTTGTATTAGTTTCAACGAAAAATTCTCCAGGTAATCTGAGAGGTGTACCATATAACATTTCAGCCGCGGTTGCTTGTAAATCTTCTTTGTAACTATTTCTCAAACCAAGCATAACTGTTGGAAGTACTTCTAGCCAATTTTTATTTTCGTGACAACGAATTGCCGCTTTCAAGGATCTATGCCAACGTTCTATCATTCCATTGGATGCTGGGTGATACGCTGTAGTGGATATGTCTGTATCCAATTAGTTTTGTTAATGAATTAAGTAGTTGAGATTCAAATTGTGAACCGCGATCTGTAGTAATAGTTGCTGGAGCATCGAATCTCGAAATCCAAGTGGCATAAAACCCTGTTGCAACGGTATCCGCGTTTATATCTTTTAACGGAATCACCTCAGGCCATCTGGAAAATCGATCGATCATAGTCAAACAGTCCCTGTAATCGTTAATTGTTGGTAACGGTCCTACAATATCAATATGAACATGTTGAAAACGCTCTGGAACAACAATATGTTTCGGTGGATTTTTGATGTGTGCTTATCTTATTTCTTTGACAGCTTACACAACCTTTTGCCCAATGTAAAATATCTTTATTCATCCCAGGCCATACGA